TCGATTGAGCTATGCAAGAGTATGGAAGCAGAAAACAAGACCTTCCAAAGGAGAGTGGACTAAGAAATTATTTGACACAATGAACATGGACAAACTAACATCTCTATTAGCTAAAGGACAGAACAAACCAAGTAGAATGACAGACTGGTCAGCAGTTAAAACATGGATGAAAGAAAATAAAGGAAAGGTACTAGTTTAAAAGAAACAAAGACATAACAACAGCAAAGAACTCAAAAACAGATCCCTCTAAGAAACCTCGAAGAGATAATATGGAATTGGAAGAAAAAAAAAGTACAGAAAATCCCACACAGAAGAGTAACGGAAGAAGACACCCCCCACCTCTACCCCCCCTACCCTCCCCCTACTCTACCCCATCCCCCCCTCCACCTATCCCCTATCCCCCCCATCCCCTCCCCTAGCCCCCCCTCCCAAAAACCACCTCCCTCCCTTTTTCCCTGGTGTTTTTAAACACTGTATTTATAGAAAATTTTGCAAATAAAAATTTATTATAAAAAAAAATTAGTGCAATTTTGGCTTTGCATGGAAACCAGATAGAACATGTCTCTAGGCATTTTCTAGGCCTTCCAGAGCGATTTGATGGTATGCTTCAACTGGAAGTCCAAGATCTTGTTAATTTCAGGGAAGAAAAATAGGTTCCAGATTATGAAAGAAATCATATTCAGGTCTTGAAGCGAATCCCTCATGTAATATGTGAGCCTACTGTATATTGATATCTAATTTGGTAAATAAATAACTGAAATGATAGGAGGACAAAAATGGACTATGGCAAGGACGTTCCTCACTTCATCTGTACAGCCAGACGGTAGATATGAGTAGAATCTATATATGATACAGTGAACCAGCCACACCACCTGATTGACTGGTTCAAATGTGCAGTTGCTGGAAGAAGAAGTAAGCTGCTCAACATACTAAAACCCTCTCCTACCCAAGCTCTGTGTTACCAAGCAAAAAGATATCCCCAGCAAGATGAGGTAGGAGGTGTACAATTTTGAGAGTCTAGGTGAAGCAAATGGTGAAGTCAAAGAGACTTCAAACAGAGACAGATTGGCAAGCATAGGCAAAGGACCTTCAATCCTTCTATAAAGGATGAAGGGGTAAAAAAATGATTGTGAGCAAAACAAAAGAGACATTTTAATGGTTACTAAGGAAGATAAATATAAAAAAGAAAGAACGGGAACTCGCTGATTATCAAACAGTATGGGCTGGATCTGGAATGCAGGAAATCAGGGATCAATCAATTCGAACTGCTTTGAATTGTATCAATAGCCAGGTGCATCAATATTATGAGGGAACTCAAAAAGAAGAAAACTACTACAATAAACTGGGGTGTTTTTGGGGTGGGAGTGGGGAGCATGGATTGGGGCAGAAAGAGAAAACAAATCAAAACAGAGTCCTGTGCCAGCTGCAGATAGCAAAAAATAGTGGTGGAAACAATATCTTATTTCTTGGCTTTTAAGCTTTTCTGTAACTTTATTCCAAGCAACAGAAAACAAACACCAAGGAAGAAATGGCAAGAAAAGATGAGTCCTGTGAGATGTTGTTCCTTCTATCTTTTATTTTGGTAAATCATTTGGGTTAGCTGCCTCTACTTGGCATTAGTGTTTCAGATGCTTTTGAAAGCAACCCGCAAGACCTTTTGATGCCTGGATCAAAAAGCTTGCATGGTTTTGTTGCAACTCCTCTAAATGACATCATAATCTTCAGCAAAATTTTAAGCAGCTTGTCTTTTTGACAGTTAACATAAAACACAGATGCGTCTTTTCTTCACAAAACTGGTCATCTTTCCCATTTGCACAGGACTTACATAGCATAGGGGTTACAAGACTGAGCTAAATATCAGTGAATCGAGAGCTGTCAGAATCAGGAACTTTTATTTTTGTGGGCGATCATTGCAAATAATGAATTTGTAGGTCGGAACAATTTCTCATTGGTGAAAAATCCAGGGGCTCTAGACTAGTCCTGTTCACCCAAACTGGTTATAGGGCCTAACTAGGCAGGAATGACTATATGAACTACTTTGGTCTGGGCCCGTTTATATGAAATAAGGTCTTAGGGTCTAAATATCCCAAAGTCACCAGTTCCTGTGCGATCTTGAAAGCTAAGCAGGGCTAACCCTGGGTAGTACCTGGATGGGAGACCACCAATGAATATAAGGTGCTGTAGGTTGTATTTCAGAGGAAGTATTTGTTGCCTAAGGATCCTTCCACACAGCCATACAATCCAGAATATCAAGGCAGAAAATCCCACAATTCTGTTTTGAACTGGGATATCTGAGTCCACACTGCCATATGTTCCAGTTTAAAGCAGATAATGTGGGAATTTATTCAGCTGTGTGGAAGGGGACTAAGAAAACCCTATGAAATACATGGAGTCACCATAAGTTGACAGGCAAACTGAGGCACACACATGCCCTGGAGTTTTTCTCTTCATCCCTTGGCTCTCATGCCCAGCTTTGACACCTGTCTTTGACCCTTTGCTCAACTCTTAGTTTCCAGGCTCATGTCTAACACCTGCCAGCTTTAACACCTAGTTTGACACTCACTTTTGCCATGGATTCCCTAGAAAGGTCCTCTTTCAGTCTCAGCTTCACCACCAGTCATGTGGGAATAACGGTAATTACACAGATCCTTCTTATAAGGTTGCTTTAAATGTGAACAACATGATGGTATGAAGTTCAACAAACATTCTAAATATCAAGAAGTATTTTAATTGAGATGCAAGATGGAACAACTTTGTTAAACCATATTTAAGTATAAATTGTACAGGAGTAGGTAACAGTTTTCTATGGGCGGATCCAGACAGGCCTTTATCCCATGCAAATCCATGTTTTAAAAATCATGGATTTCCCCGGGGGCCTTTCCACACCCACCCTAGAAAGTGTGTGCTTGCAAGAACATCTGGAGGCCCTAGCCCCTTCCCCAAAGCCCCCAGACCCCTTAGAAAAGTAATGAAAACTTACCCGGTTTCCATTACAGGCTTTGGCCAACTCTCCTGTCTCATAGAAATGACGCGCCAAGAGAGTGGGGGAGGGGGAGAGATTATCCTTCCCCCTCCCCCCACTCTCCTGGTGCATCATTTCTAAGTGCCAGGAGAGCTGGCTGAAGCCTGCAATGGAAATCGGGTAAGTTTTCATTACTTTTTTAAGGGATCTGGGAGCTTTGGGGGAGGGGTGGGGGGGGAATTCACATGGTTTACCAGGCTTATTTAGCCTGATAAACTGTGGGAATACTGTTGGGATTGCAGTATTCTGCACTCCAGAACCGGAAATAGTGGGTTTATCCCGTGCCTTCCAAGAAGGCACAGAATAAACCCACTATCTAATTACTTTGCTACAAACCAGGGTTTTCCTGGTTTGTAGCTAATTAATTCAGGACTGTCCAGAACGTTGTCTGGACAGCCCCTCCTCTATTGCAGTAGATACTGTAATGAAGGTACTGTCTAGATGGGCCCTATGTTATTGCTCAGTCATGCACCAAAGGGACGACTAGCATCAAGAAATCAAGACTTAGCAAAGAAGGTATGAAGCAACTAGGTGAGATATTCAAGTGTAAAAATATATTATTTAATACTGAAGTCAAAATAACCCAAGCCACATTTTTTGTGATTTTTGTGAATGGAAACATGTATGGAAAGTTGGACAGTGAAAAGAGAATCAAACTCATTTGAGACATTGTGCCGGAGGACAGTGTTATAAATACTATGGATTGCCTAAACAATAAACAATTGGGTTCTAGCGTAAATCAAGTCTGAAATCTCAAAGGAAACCAAACTGACTAAAGTGAAGCTATTACACTTCAGACATATTAGGAGACAACAATGGAAAAGACAATAATATTTGGTAGAGTGGAAGGTAGTAAGAAAAGAGATCGACCGCATTGCAGATAGATTGTTTCAATGAATGAAGCCACAAGACTTTACAAGTTTAAATGTTTACAAGACTTGAACAGTGCATTTGATACATGCTATTCATGGAGAATTCTCGCTGAACAACAAAATCTATCTGACTTACCTTTTCTGCATTGGGAAAGCAATGCACTATAAATCTCTTATAAAATAGAAGAGACAATCATATTTAGATCATAGATACCACAGTGATGGGTACAGAATAAAGGTGATTTCATGCCACTGATTTGCTATGTTGATAATGTTGAGTAAATATGTGCAGAATTGACCATGCAAATGCTTTTCAATGCCCCCAGGCTGCAATTTCACCACAATCAGGAAAGAACCACTAACTGCTGTGTTTAGTGTGGGTGTACAGTACATGAAAGTTGAATACAGGTACATGTTTGTTTATTAATCTATTAAATTGCTTATAGGCAGTTTTTTGTCAACTATCGCTACCTAACAATGTACCTAGTACTAATATTTACATATCGGTTTCTGACACCTATTGCCCCAGACAAAAGAGCTTACACTTTACATAAAAAGCTCTGAATGATTTAACAGCAGTTAACAGTCTAACATGAGTCTACAAATTAAGTTTTAATCAATTACATTTGTTGTAATATTCACATCAGTAGCCAAGAAAGAATAAGCAACATGTGGGATATGAAAAGCAAAAAAAAATTATCCAGAACTCAGTTCCAACTAAAGAACTGTACTCTCTTAGCAGGACTACAACCAGATGTTGACTTGAGGCACTTCTAGAAAAAAAGCTTACTGGATGATGGATGCGCTGAATCAGTATATTAAAAATGGTTGTCCATATGGGAACCAGTACTGACCTATGTCTACAGTGATCACTGTTAGTCCAGACAGATAATAAACATCACTCCATTCTATTGCAAGTCATAAATATCACTCACTGATTAAAATTACACCAGAAGGCAGCCCCGCCCCACCCTACAATGAGAAACAATAAACTTAAAGCCCTATATCGCCCATATAAATGTTTATATATCTCTTTTTCTGTTTCTAGACTAATCAAGGAAGTGAATGATACTCAGATCAATAAATATTTAACCATAAAGACCAACCTTCTGGACGCTGGATACAGGTGTGCTGGTTGTCACTCAAGAAAAAGCCATCGCGGCAGTGGCACTCGTAGCTTCCCATCATGTTGACACAGGTCTGCTGGCAGCCACCGTTCCCTTCTGCACACTCATCCACATCTATCCCAGGAAGCAAAGGAGAAAATGAGAACAATCTGATACTTACTGGTTTCTGTTATTTAAAGTGTTTATAAATAACTTTTCTACCCACTAGAACCATCAAAGCAATGTACAATCCAAAACAAATGCAATAACGCAACACAAAAGAATAAAAACTGGAATAAAAATTATTCAACAGAAGCCACAATAATATTAACATCCATCATATGCCTGGCAAAAAACAGTGCAGGTTTGGCTACCAGTCTAAAAATGCAGAAGGGATGGAACCAATCTGACTTCTCTAGAATTTCTCTGGAATGCGGCTAAAGAAAAGGCCCCATTTCATCCATTCACCCACCCATCTAACCACCCTACGACAAACTAGAAGACCATCTTGTCAGTTCAAGGTCAATGACATATGGAGTCTAAAGCTTACACAATACAAAAGTATGATCACTTCATTTTGCATCACATTTTCTACATAACACAAGAACATCATAATACCAGAAGAGGCATATTACCTTAGAACATTCCTATGTAAAAAAAAAAGTTTTTAAAAAACAGAATAAGGGTAAAACTATGAAGACAAGAGCAAATTGGATTCTTAATATGGTGCTGTTCCATTACCTCCTTCCCACCTCCTATTTCATAAACAAGGGTTGATTCCATCATGGTGCCATGTGTGGGGCGAATAATAGGAAAACAGGAGAAAATGATTTTACTCCTTCAACTCCTGATCCCCACCCCCTGTAAAATGGACTATCCTTCTCTGTCTATCAACTTCTTTTGGCCTCTGCCTGGATAATGAAACAGTACCCTTAATACTAAAGAAGACCCTGGGCCAAGAACCTAGCCTCCAATCCAGCAGTATTCCTGAGTACACTTCTTTATACATTTCCAGATAAATTAATTCTCTGGAGAAATGTAAAGTGCCGTATTTTGAGATCTCTGGAATACAATATAAATCTGTACTTGCCATATCAAACATTGGATATTCTGCCCTCCATCAACATTAATGTCATTCAACATACAACCCCTCCTTCCATGCACACTGCATCTATTGGTACGTTCATTTTTATAGATCATTTACATTATACCATTCTTGGTCCATTTAGGTTTCAATGTCTTTTGGGTAATCAGAGATGGAATGTATCTTCACTCCACAGTAACAGTAGTTCAGGATCACTTTAACTGTCATGGCACCATCCCATGGAATCAGGGAATTTGTAGTTTAGTGAAGCTAGAATTACAATATTGGAACAATCTCACTGAGAAGATCTAAGGATCTTAGAACTGTGATTTTTGGGGGGTGATAAACTGCAGTTACAGTGAGCAGGCAAAGTATTCTTTTTAAATTAAACAGTTCCTCTTTGGCAATTCAGTCTATTTCATTGTCTCCTGTTGGAGAGGAGATAAAGAAGCTCTCTAAATTGTCCCAGTGTGCACTTCCAAAAGATAGAATTAATTATCCATTTCCATCCTTAACACAAACCTCTTCATCTTAGCAAATTAGCACTGGCATGGAATATATCCATATATATCCAACCAGGGTTTTCCTGCTAGTAGCAAATTAATCCAGGATTGTCCAGGACGTCATCTGGCCAGCCCCTTCTTTATTGTGGGAGTTACTGCAATAAAGGGGCTGTTTGGATGCACCCCAGTTGCTTTTTATTACAGAAAAATTAAAACACTTGAAACTCCTTTTAGTAAATGCAAGAAGACAATATGCCTGAATTGATTCTTCTCTCTCTCACTTCTGCTGATTAATCTCAGCTGAGTCAAATACATGTATTCCTTATCTGCCAAAAATTCAATACAGGCATTTGCTTTGAACAAAGCAACACTTAGCAGTAGGAAGCAATGGTGCCAAGATCAACAACAGTAAGGCTGTTTTCAAATAAACTTTGTAACTTCTTTGATTGGTGGGTTTAAAAAGAGAGGATTTAAAACAACTCTGCTATGTACACTTTTTCCTAGCGTTGATTGCCAAACTCCAGACAGATATGCCTTAGTAGTCCTTGATCTACAAGAATCACTCGGTGGAAATTCAAGACAAGTATAGTATAGCATACAATTATGTTTCTTAGAAAACAATACTCTGAGTATTTAAAAGTGAGCACTGGGTTTGGTGCAATGTTTATTTTTTTAAGAGAATGAACAAATCATTAAGTTGGGCAGTTTTCAAAATCTTCATCACAGATGCTTTCCCATTCTTCTTCCTGGCTTTTAAAAAAACTTAAAATGCAACAATTTTTTTTGTTGGAGCAGAGAAACTTGTAATCAGAACTTACTAACTGTAAGGTCCAAATGCCCCATCTGCTTTTTTGCTTTCTTGTCCTTTTTTCAATTTTGGTTTATCAAAATAAAGCCACATAAGCCTCTCCTGGTGCACAGAAATCATGCGAAAGAAGGGCAGGGTGGGGCGGGGGGGGGGGGGGGGGAAAATCGCTTCCTCCCCCCCCCACCCCCCGCTCTCCTGGTGCATCATTTCTACATGCCATGAGAGCTTACCAAGGCTTCTAATGGCGGATAGTTAAGATTTTACTACTGGGGGCTTGGGGGGAGAGGGGTAGGGCCTCCGGACGTTCTCTCGGGCTAGTCCCAAGAGAACATTTTGACACCCATGCCAGAAAGCGCATGCTTTCTGATGTGGGTATGGTCAGCCCCCCAAAAAGCATCCATGTTTTTTTTAATGTGGATGTTTGTGGGATAAAGGGCTGTCTAGAACCATCCTCCGTTTTGAGTAGATAACACAAACAGCAGCCTATAAACATACTAGGTAGTTTATGATGTGATATTTAGTTATGATAAATCCATAAATACTTAAGAGTGCCATTTCATTATAAACACAATCCTATTTCAACAAAATCCAAAGGAGTATATTATAATCTCTGGCAAAGAAAAATTATCATATTATCTATCAACACCACATAGGGCTACTAAAAGTAAGAGTACACATAACCAACCACCTGCACAATTCAAATAAAATACCCTTTCTTACAGTAACTAACTAATCAGCTGATTCTTAAACAGGTGTCCTACATGAATGAATGTCTCCTTACTTTCATTTAGCAAAATATATTGAAAGAAATCAGTTTTGCAAAGTGATTTTCTGCAGAGTTACAATAAAATAGTTAAACCCTCTTTTCCATGCAGTTGTTAATGGGCAACTCAACCAGTTTCAACTAAAAGTATTCTGAACAATACACGTGACCTTTCTTATTGTTTATTTCATTTATATTCTGACATATTCCTCTCAGAAGGAAAGGAACAGACACTCTGGAGGCTTAGGCTACTTTCTATGGGTTCTCCTCTCACTTTGGATAGGACCATATAATCGCTATGGTCACTCCTCATGTTAGAGTATTTGGGGGCCACCAACACTTTGTTCAAGGATTACATAAAAATAAACAAAAAAAATAATCTGATTATGATTTTATATAGTTTATTCATATCTCCTGATATATTATTAATATTCCATTATAATAAATTATTATGCATATGTTCTAAACTCACTAGCTCTGCATTCTGGCATCCTAATAACTGTTGTTGCTGATTACACTGCTGTTTTCTAACTCAGTGTTTCTCAAACTGTGCTTCTCCAGGTGTTTTGGACTTTGGCTCCCAGAAATCCCAGCCAGTTTACCCACTGCTATGGTTCTGAAGTCCAAAACATCTGGAGTATCATAGTTTGAGAAACTCCGTAAGGATCCAAACTTCACACATTTTTATGATAACAAATGCATTTTCACAGAGTTATCTACATTTAAATCTAATGTATCTCTTTGGAGCCACTGTCACTCATTTCAGTATTTTAAGTATGTTGGTTGAAACATGCTGATGACTAGGGACAGATCTACACAGCCCAATTATTGCAGAAACTTCCGCAATAAAAAAGGAGCTGTCCAGATGACATTTTGGACAATCCTGAATAGATTCGCTCCTTCCCCCCTCCCCTCTTTCTCCTGGCGCATCATTTCTATGTGCCAGGAGAGCTGCTGCAGCTCTACAATGAAGGCTGATAAGTATTCATATTTTTTAAAGAGGGGCTTAGAGCTTTTGGGGAGGGGGTAGAGTTTCCCAGTGTTCTCCCAAGCCAGTCCCAGAAGAACATCTGGGTACCTACCCCAGAAAGCGTGCACTTTCTGCGGGTGAGTGTGGACAGGGTCCCAAGAACATTCACTTTTTTTAAAACGTGGATGCTATTGGGATGAAGCCCTGTCTGGAAGGGCCCTAGGTCAGAAGTTCAACCTACTGGAAAAGCCTTTGGTATGTCTCATCTTTTGGAACACTAGTTGCCATAAATACACAGTTTCTCCCCTGAGTTACTATGGGCTGGATGAGTGCATGGAGTGCTGAGGTGGTGCCTTGAACTGAAGGAAGGTTCTTCCTCTCACAATTTTTAATGTTCTGCATCAGAAAACAAAGGAGAAAGGCAACCAACCTAATTTCTCAACACAGAAAGAGAAGGCAAGAGGCCCAGTGCCAAAGAAAACCTCTTGTGAACTCAAGCATTGCAAACCCAACAACTAAATGGAAAGCTGAGCCCCTTGGACATCAATGGTGAGGCCATAGAATAGACTCCGGAAAAGCCAGAGTAGCAGGTCAGTGACAGCATGCAGAGAGAAGGAATTCCAGATCAAGCCCAAATACCTGAACAAATATCTAAGGGGTAAATTAAAACACACACATTGGCGCGTATGCACTGAGAAAAAGCAAAATGAAGATAAAAGTAATGCCATACATGGTCTCTTGCAGACAGATATTGCCACAGTCAATTGTTAAAATGTTGTTCTTAAACACAACAATTTTAGCAGTTGTTTAAACGGTTCCAGAAGCCTTCTGGCTTCAAAGGAAGACTGGAAGATCTATCTCAACACAAAACAATGTAAACTGAAGAAGCTCCTCACTAGTTTGTCTAACAAAAATACTTAAATAACATCATGATATTTTGGAGTCTCATCACATAATATTTCAGATTTCAGATCATGAAGCATAAAGTAATGAATGAAGAACTGGGA